AATTGGTTAGATGATTTACAATAGGAAATTTATTTGATTATATATTTGTATGGTTGGAGTCGCGAGTGAAAATTCGCGTCAGAATGCATAGGAAGTATTTCGTGAAATATCTGTCATTTTTTGGTGTAAAACAGAAGTCACTAAAAAAAACGAAGAGAAAATAGAATATATGATTTTTTGATCACTTATTTTAACGCACACAATACATTGCTTTTCGAAACTTAAAAATTATTATATGTTGATAATCTGCTAGTGAGAATAATTTTTAAGGAGTAGAAAATCAGGATTTGATACTTGTAAATTTGAATCGTTTTCATGTCTAACCAATTATCGCTCCCTCACTATACCAGCTGCTTTTTCAAGATACGGTGGATTAATTATTGTAATAGTAATATGATAGCGGTTGCGGCACTGCAATTCATTCGAATTTACGATTTAAATCCAGCGAATATTCCGTCAACCTTCGAATTCATCCTTCCAATGGGCGATGTTACCGAACTAGCGTTTGGTATGTTAACCCGAGATAGAAAGGATTAGAAGTTCTGAAGCTTATCTTATTTTCAAATTCAGTTTTACACATGTTGTTATGTGTCATTTTAACTTTATTCGAATATGTTAAAGCAAATATGAATTCCTTTTAATGATGTCTTCTTTTACAGGTAGACGGAACGATGGTTTGACTGTTATCATTGTCCTTTCATCCGCAGGACACCTTTATACGGAGGAATTGGAAAAAGCTAGACGTGCTGATGGAGCTTCTTATTTTATGACAACAACACTTCAGTTACCAACAACATCTACAGCCATCTCCATGCATTATTCCGAAGAAATTCGATTTTTATTCGTTTCCATGGAAAGTGAGTCTACTGTTTACATAACAGAACACTTCAAATACTATTTTGTATGAACTTGTTGAAATTAACTTTCATTATCAACTATTAATTTTTGCCCTTTAATTCATTTCTTCCTTATCATTTTGTATCATGCTAAAAATGTTTTCCTCAGAAAACCTTAGTTGAACTTTGTTTCAGATAATACTTATGTACTGCACTTCAATGGTACAGAATTCGAAGAAGCCAAAGGTCTTCCGTTCGACTTTCCGCTAGTGAATTGGTGTGAATGTGCTGGAGTTTTTGCAGCTCTCTCTCATCCGTCATGTGGCTCTGTTGTTTTTCTCTACCCATATGGCAATACTCTATATACACAGACGAAGACTCTAACTGATCCTGCAACAGCGCAATGCATGTTGCTTGGCTCAGATTGTGTATCTCAACTTCTCATACAAGTTCTGGCGAATCAAAATTTACAGCTTTTTCGAAGGTTACCATTACCTTTGTAATACAAGATTTGCAGTACAGTGTTGATAATGTGGAATTAAGATGCTGTTGAATGCTGAGTACATTGTTGGACATGTACTTGAAGTTCTTGAAAAAATGTCCGGAAAAATTCAGGCAAAAAAATAATATTTGTTCAGCACGTTGAAATAACTGTCATCTTAGCTTTTCGAACAATTGGAAAGTTAGAAATGGTTTCACAACTATAAAATTATTTCATAACATTACAGTAGTCGTGCGTTTTGCTTCTCTAAAATACTGGTGATAATAGTGATTTTGTTTTTGTAAGATAAATACTTGTATGTTGAGCTTCTTTGGAAAAATCGAAAAAAAATAGAGATTTCAGTTGTTGGTTGATGGAACCTGATTTCTGGGTGAAGGACGTGGAACGTTCAATGTTGGAAACAGAAGTAAGGCCATGCACCGTTATGGAGGATGAGATACCAGAACCAGACATGGTTACAGTGTTTGAGCAATGCCGTCCGATTCAAAAATTGGAATTTTACAGTAAGGCACTTGAGCAGGTTTATGACACTGCTGAACTTACAAAAAGAATTATCTCTTCCGGGATGAGCGTTGTTTGTCTAAAGGTACGTTCTATCCTTTTTTTCACCTTTCTTCACTGTGTACATTTCTTAGAAGGCGAGCAATAGGCAAAATCAAATCTTTGATTGAGGAAAGTAAAGCATTTAGAAAATATGGTTTTTTTTTCTCGAATTGAATGTATGGTTATATTTATCTGATACTTTATTGTGCAATCTCTATTTTCTTTTGAGCAAGCCAGACAAATGAAAGAAGTTTGGGTGAGTAGGAGCATAAAACTCTTCAGTATTTGTTGCAGTAATTTCCTTTGAGTTTCAGCAAAAGGAGTTTGAAGTTGTGGTGAAAAACCTAGATTGGAACTGCATCATGTGCGCATTACGTATCGAAGTCACACCGGACAAGTGTCCAACAGCTGTTACAGTTTTTGGCAAAAAGATCAACCTACAAGCGAAGACGTCACGAATGTTCGATATACGGTTCACACGAAAACAGTCTGTCAGTTGGTAACTTTTTTTGGAAGTTGCTACTGCATTTTAATGCTCGTAATCTTCCTCATAGGTAGCACAGTATTCGTTCGGTACATTAGACAAAAACTGGAAATGTTAACATTCCCAAAATTTCAGAATTCATTCAAGTTTTCTGTTTAATTATTACCATTAGTGCTTTCTTTAATCATACCAAATATTTTTAATGTACATACGATCTAGTCCACGCATCTTACTCCACTAGGAAATGATAACAGATAGTGTAGAAGTAGGGTAAAAAACATGTCTGGATATTTTAAGCACATTTAAAATGCCTACTCACTGCCTGTCTTTCGAAGTGACACAACTCTTAATCATGTTAAACTTTTTCGAATTGCGTAGAATTATAAGTTTTGTATCTCTGTAATCCGTTTACAATAACGGATAACTTCAATGACCTTCCCGAAAGCTCTTAGAGATTGGTAACACTAAAAAATTTTGAAGTCGCTGTAATCTTCTCTCTGTAACTTTAGCATGGCTGGTGCAATCTATAAGTTTAAACCTCCATTGCTTTTATAACTGTATGATTACATTTAACAAACAACTAAGTAGTGTCGATATTATCAGTTTTCTTACTGCTTATTTATGATTATATATTTGCAGTAACAATGAAGTGACGCTGAATTTTACGTGTAACAATGTACCGGCACAAATTTGGTCGATTAAGGTGAATTCATTTTTATTTCTTCTGATGAAATTTAAAGAAATCCTTTTTAATTTCTATAATTTCACTATATAATTTCAAATGTAACTGAGCTTTTTATTCTTTGATTTATCATAGAATTTTTAGGTTTTCGGTAAAACAAAGAAAGAGTTTGGTTTTCCCACGGCTTCTTATCGTTTCGACCAAATCATTACTCTTCCTGAGCAACTGGTTGCCTCATTTATCTCTACATGCTACAGGCTGCATTCTTGTACCAAGCGAAAGGTCTGCTTTTCTTTCAATTTCATTTTTATTAGAATGATGTTTATGATTTGTCTAACATGTCTATTGAACTGATACTATTTTCCTAAATAAATTCAAAAAAAAAGATTTCAAAAAACAAAGTTCTTTACTTCTTTTCAATTTTGAAGGGCAGTTGTAGATTTTTCTGTTTGGCTTTTCCATACTGTCGAAGCTACATAATATAATTTTACATTCCATAACTTTATCATGCCGCATAAATATGATTTTATATTCCATAACTTTACCATCATTATGTCGTATTTTCAGCGTATGGATTGGCTTCTACCACTTGCATTAAAATTTACAGCTCCAGACTTCGAGCATGTCACTGTGAACCATCGAGCATTAATTTTATTAAGGCATTTGTCGCCGTCAGCCTCATCATTCCTCGAGCAAAAGGTTATTGGAGCAGTTTAGACTTATTAATATGTAACTAGCTACCTAACATTTTTGGAAATAGGGATCAGAAGTTGCTGACCGGATTACAGTGCATTCGCAATCGCCAGACTGGTCGTATGTAAAGTAATGAGACTGGTGAATATTAAAATATTATGCTATTATTTCAAGGAGGTTGAATATGATCATAAAGGTCATTTTTTTACAACAACAATTTCAATCCTTATGAGGTAAGACTTTCCAGCAGATTTTTACTGCTTTTTTACAATTCTAGGACGCAGCTTTATTTTCATCACTGAGTAGCCATCGAAACGCTGGAACCCTACAGATGTCGCTTTTCAACGCTTTCGCTACTCAGTTGAAAGTGATGACTTTGCATCGTGTGGCATCCTTTCACCAATTAATCAAGAGACGTTAGTTTTGTTTCTTAAATTTATTCTTCAGAAAGTAGCTTCGACTACTTATTTTAAGTTCATGATGCTGGAAAATTCAAATCGTTTTCCGATTCTTTTCGAAAATAATTGTGATTTTTTATGTTTGAGCTTGGTAAAAACTATTTTTTGCAAATAATCGATATATAATCGATAAAAGGGGAAATAAAACAGAAAGCAAACGTTAATATTTTTGAAGATTTATTAGTATTTGTATGTTGGATTTATTAATTTGTATGCTTTTTATACCACAAGTAGTGTTAACATATGTTCCTCAAGCATTAAAAATAAGCAATATATTAGCAAGAATAAAGCATTATTATTTTTACCAATAAATAAACAATACGTAAGACCAAACACCATTTCTGAAAGAATATTAACAGTGATTTAATTAAAGTTGTCCCGACATTTATTTGATTAGTTAATTATTCGTTATCACTTATTTCATTTACTACTAAACAAAGCAGAGCTTTAATTACTGAATGAATTGTATGAAAAAAAAATTATTACTGAATCAAACATCGAGTTAAAAAATATTTTTAAAAAAAGCTAAATGAGATGTATGAATCCGTAAATTCAATTTTTATGATTTAATTCAAGTTTTATGTTAAATTTACAGTTCAATTCAATTCTGTAGAACCCTAATATCTGAATGGCGCTGGTTTTGTGATGAGAAACTATTATAAATTGTTGGTGTCAGATTCAGAAGAGTCATTGGAGGGATTAAATCAATAAAGATTGGTGGTTAGAATAAATCATTGAAAGTGAACTAGGAGAAATAATTGCTGTTTTGAAATATCTAAATAATTTGGCTTGGTTGATGAATGAAGGCATAATAATAATCTCTAATATTCCCGCAAAATTAAAATTCACATATTAATTAAAAATGATTAGGTATTAGATCAAGTGAAAAATAATGTGAAAAGTCCTGAAATATTGCCTAGAAATATTAAGCACGGATTAAAAGTTTTTAAGAGTGCAATACGGAGATTAAGTGAATGAAATGTGGAGATTTTAACCGGAAAACAACGAAAACAACAATGTAAGAGGTGATTATTTAGATTTCGGTGATATACTTCCTTTCTTGAAAATGTGTGTCGACTTCATTTTCTCGAATGATTTTGCTGCGGATGCAGTACTGGAGCAGCTCCTGATATCTGCTTTCATGTATCTCGCCGTAAATGTGGAAAATTCGACAGAAATAACGCAAATTATCTTGGAAATATTATTCTCGGACGTTGGTTTCGAAAATTTTTAGATATTTTTTCTCCTTCGAAGTCCCTTAAATAGTGTAAATCGTGAGGATTATTCAAACTTTTGAACTGATTCTAATTTTTCATGTGATTCGCAATCACTGTTTATAAAAGTAGTAGTCGCGCTATATTTTATTGCTGTGGGTGCAATACTGGAGGGGCTCCTGAATCTATCGTGTATTTGACTGTAAATATGGAGAATTCGCTTCAAAAGACTTTTTAATTTTAATTCCAGAACATAATCGTTGCTCATCGTTGCAAATGCCTGATGTCATCAATAATTTCGAACTACTGTATTGCAACTGTACAGGATCATAGCAATTTGTTCTCATTTATTGGCGCTGTTACCCCTGCAGCTTTGACGGATAAAAACACGACTCCCGCTGACGGACTGCATATGGGTTTTTTAAGCCAGGGTACTATCGGAGGATTTAAGCCGACGGTTATTGATGAGCTTGAAAACCAAATAAACAAGGAAAGAGGCATCCCTGTTCAGTTGAAACTTTCATCGGATTTAGAAGATTTTAACAAAAGTAAGTTTTACTTCTTCCAGTCTTCTAGACTAAATTAGTTTCTTAATTTTCAAGTTTAGTTAAGCCGAAAATTTTTTCATTTACTTTCTAAGCTGCACAATTGAAATTATAGACAGACATGTTAGACCATATTCTCCAAAACTTCCGATTAGTTTGTAATAACGTTATCGCATGTTGATCAGCGTGGCAAGTAGTACTAATAACTTTTCATATAGTGATTCTGTTTACGTACACAGCTTTATTGAATGGTAGTTCCAGGATTATTTGCTCGTCTAACTCTTTAGTGCAATATCCTATATGTATGCTATCGACGAATTTATGCGCATTTTTTTTCTCCTAAATAAACATGGGCAATGCTACGACATTACCAACGAGCCAAATTTCATCATTTTGTAGAAAACATTCCATGTCTTCATATGCATCACTCGATGTAGTCTAAATTTCTACTCGGAAGATTCCTGAAGTCTTGATAGAAAGAGATTTTAAACATTAGAATTAACATTCATGTTCAGATTTCAAAGAAGAGAAGTATTATTCTTGTTTCTACAGAAATGGCCTGGATCGGGCAGTTGTTACTAGCTTTTGTTTCCCGACTCGATACCTGTAGTTGTGATGGTATATGCTGCTTGGCACCAGCGCAGACAATACTCTTTTTGATGGGTCAGCATGCTCCAGATCAGCTAATCGATCTTGTAAGTGTGTCACTGGATTTTAGTTTTGAAGTATTTTTCGAAATCTCGAATATGTCGGCACATGTCAGTGTTTCAGGTCCATTATTTGATAAGTGGATTAGACTTTAGCAAAGTACAACTAAAAAGAACATTGAAAACAGAACGTGATCAAATTATTCTACGTCTGATATATGTCATTCTTGTTCAATGTACATCACATAATTGGTCATCCAGGAGTAGCAGAAAGATAATCGATGGAGTTCACCATATTACGATGCCAAAAAATGACGAAGTTTTAGTTTTTTTTTTTAGTTAAAGTGATAAGGTCTTTCGTTGTGTTATTAGGAAGGCAATGCTTTTTATTTAGTACAATCGAATACTGAAATTAAGTAATGTAATGATGTTCCAGTGTTTCGCACATATTTTAATGATAATGAAAAACATTTTTATTTAAAAAGATAGAAATTCTCTGCTTCCACAGTTTCTAAAATAATTTGAAATTCATTTGTACATGTTTTGCTGGAGGATCAAGCGAATTTATTGTGTGATTTCAAAATTCCAACTATCTTCCAGCTTACTGCAGTATTAGGTACTGCTGACGTAGTAACAGTTGCACCAGTTGGAAGTGTTGACGGAGACGATGCAGAAGCTGGTGGCGAATCTGATCTGGAACAGGTGGAAGGTACTGAACTTACAGGTGATATATCATCGTCTAGCCGTGATGCAACACCTCAGCAGGACGATACTGACATATCGATAATGAATACTATTCCCCAAGTAGAAAATAAGGAACACGAAGATGCATCTGTAACTCCTGAGCCACAGGTTGCATTGGCTCTGAAAATTGCACATACTTTGGTAAGTGTTAAACAAAATTTTTTTTAAAAGAGAGTAGTAATGGATTTCTCATTTGCCTGTTTGATCACTGACTTTCATTGGTTTCATATTTAGTTAATCGTCTATGCTTTGAGCCTTCGAACTGACTAGGGGATTAGATGATGCATATTTATTGGAGACAACTAGAAGCGTAGAAAAGTTACTTCTCATGAAATGCGAAAATTCGGACGACATTATTTATGAAAGAACTTATTCTACAATATGTTTCTTTTGTTTTCACGGATTTAAATTCAAATGATTCAGGTGTCTGTGGGAGCCCTGAATCATTGTTATGTCCTTTTGCAATCCTTAAAAACAGAATGGACCAAACAGACGCAGACTCCCGAACAAGGTATCCAGAAACTCTCCTCCGTCCCACCAGAATTACAGCCTGATCTTGCACCATTATTCAACGCTCGTGTGTTGAATGTCAATCCGGGAAATGTCTTCTCGATATACACAACACTACTTGTCGAAATGGCACTTCGATTACCCTATCAGGTTTTATATTCCTCTTGATAATTTGAATCGTGCATTTAAATCCAGAGTGGCGTTGTTTTGTCAGTTGGATTTTCTGTTCCCCAATTGTTTCTATAGATTTAGTCAATCCATTCTTTTACATGACCTGTTCCACTTTTGTCTTGTAGTTTGTGGTGAATGACAATGCGATAAAAGGATTCAAAATGTAGATCTTTGATGTAACTCGATAAAATGAAGCTGCTTAAATAGATGTCCATAGATTTCCAGAATGTCAGTCGATCACATTTCACAAGCATCAAGAGACATACTTTACTGAGATAGTTTCATTTTGCTCATCTTTTTACTCCCTAATCTGTATTAGGGAGTAAAGAGATTCAACAACAAAATGCAATATTTTCGGCTACAATCTTTTCAGGGGTTTTGGGTCATCCTAATTTTTTTGACTTTTTTAGACAAGGTCGATTAAGTAGCGTAAGGAAATAGTTCTAACTCATTTTCAGCTCAAAAAAATTTTGGGTGATGAACTATTGTTGAACAACAAATGGGAAAATCTTTTATGTGATTATATTACGCAGGAACCATCAACAATGCGCAGACTTGCTCGGAAGTTACTTTTGTTAATGTGTGGTTCTGATACGGTAGGTTTGTTTGATGTATGTCTCACTTCAAAATTTATTTCCCGGTCCGCTTCATTTTTGTTTTTTCGTGCTGCCGTTTTACTGAATGTTGTTGCTTATTGTTTAATCAAAGATAAAATGAAGTCCTGCCTTAATTTGCTGAAACGGGTTTATTACATTGAATCATGCTATTATTCGATTGATCTAATTCACTTGTTTGATTTCAGCTAGATAGCATCGCCTGTATTACACATGCTTATGCTATAATTTTTTCAGGCCAAGTACCGACAAGTTCGTGATGAGCACATCATTCACGACTTACTGGCTAATTTGAAGAAGCGTTTGAAAGGCCGTTCAAGTTTGGAATATTTCGAATTAAGCGACATTGTTTGTCGCATCAATGGAATCGCAGTAATTTCTGAAAGGCGCTGTATCGTTTGGCAGAGAATATGCTTAGAGGAAGTGAGCCTATCATCCGCTTACTTAAGTCTGGTTTGAAAGAAGTTTGAAACTGCAAAATTCCTTTTTTAGTTACCATGGTTGATGGAATTAGCGTGTATGATGCCTGATGTTGCATGCGACGCTGTTCTTAATCTCATTTTGCTAGCTATCCGAACATCCGAAGATTCCGATGATGAACTGCTGTGTTGTTCACTGGTCAATTTACTTTTAGGCAATCAAAAGCCACTTATACTGTTCAAAAGGCTGATTACGAGGTAATTTTTTAAATGTTTTATTTTATTTCTTGCTTACGCCATCTTTTGAAAAGGCAATGTTTTCAATTCTTTAACTGAGTCGTTCATGAGGAATAATTTTATCAGGGTAAACTACATAATTCTTTAAATCGCACTTAGTATTTGAAAAATTTATTGTTTCTCAAAACAAAACTGCATCAAACAACGCCTTAATATGTTAAACGAAGTAATCTACTAGATATCATCTCTGGTCTCTCATTATTTTTAGCACTGAAAAATGCCTTAATAACAAAAACGGCGATTCTATTCTGAAGAAAACCAACTTCTGGACTTGTTTTATAAAGTTTGCTTTCAAATCTCCAGGTTTCTGCTAGGCGAAAATGACGAAAGACGTTGGACCCTGCATGCGATTCTGCGCGCTACGCTGCAGCTTGCATCACGGCCCAACCAATTGCTACTAATTAATCACCTGTACAGACATATTTGGCCGTATGCACAAGAAATGGGTAATCGGGCTGCACAGCTAGTAGATCTTTTGTCTTGCTATCTGCCTCGATTCTTATCAAAGTTAGCTTCGTTATCTTTAGTACTGGTATAGTTGATGTTACTTTGTAGAAGAGCTTAACTGAAAGTTGGTGCTGAAGACTTCTTCAACTTTAGAAAATCAGTTCGAGGAAACTTTCAGCCTCCTACGATTTGTTAGTCTTAACTCCTGGACACAAATCTTTGAATTTCTCTTTTTGATAATATCAGAGGCAATATTGAGGATGAATGGTGCACCTTTCATAATTTCATTCTGGCATTTATAATCTGTATTTGAGGGATGAATTAATTATGGTTTATAAGGAAGCTGTTGCAACGATAAATGGCGCGCTATGTATGTTAGAAAAAAGTCGAAGTTCAGTTGTTTTCAAAAAATTATGCGAATTCATCGGTAAACTTTCAGGCTCCCTCGTTAATGGCCTTGCTTCATTTATGCACTCTTAATTCTACTTTGACTCATCATCTTTTTTTAAAAAAAATATTAGCTCCTATGCCTACTGTTTCGTATCACTATTAGTACAAAGAAAAAGCACTTAGCAATGTTCTAAACAATGAATCATACGCTGTGGAAAGAAGCATTCGCCTTCACGAAAACTAATCGATATCGGTAATAAGAATTTCAGTAATATTGAATTCATGATCCGTTGTGGGAAGAAGAAACATAAGGGCAAGAAATTATAGAAATTTTTGAACTGGATCTGAATATCTTTAAGTGATATGAAGGGCTAAATTTTATGTTAATATGAAGAAACCTTTCAGGTGATCTTTTCATGATTCTTCCAGGATCACCAGATATTTCTGTACTAAGTAAATCTCCATGTCTGATATGTTCGAATTCGGATCATTCAATGGAACAGTTGAAGTTATCAGCAATTAAGTTGGATTCTCGCTTCACTACGTCGGCACAGATGATCAAATTGATGGGTCATTTCGAGGTATGCATGATTTGTTCCGCACGACTTACTATAAGTCCAGAGGAGGGGCTTCACTTTCTGTAGTAGCTAGGTCAAGTTTAAGGAGAATTCAGAAGATAATTTAAATAAAATGGTATAACTACATAACAAAGTTCTAGGTATCACGAATCATCATACGTTTGAGCGAAATTAAACGATCGAAGATGGTGAAGCGTTTCAAATTTTATTATTGCAATAAAATGCTTGAATCTGCGGTTGATCTCAAAAATCGTCCTGAACTTTGGGAGAAAGCAGCTGATGTTAAGGTTGTATTTATATCCTTTACTTTTCTGCCCATTTCATGGACCACAAGTTCAAAACATTGCTGTCTTTTGTTCTGTCAAAATGTTAGGGTCTTGCTCCAATCTCTTCCCTTTTATTCATAAGGTCGCCGATACTGAAGCCTTCATCTTTAAGCCTTCTTATCAATACTGTTAAAAGTAGGTACTAATTTTTCGCTTCTTGTATGGAAAACATGTCTACAGGTAAATCAAGGAGATACTGAGATTGATGTGCAACTTCCAATCCCAGTTGTCACTTGTAATGTTGTCTTGGAAATGACCGAATTTTATGACACAAACACAGCTGGAGCTACGGACACGACAGAATTCGTGCACTGTCCACGGTGTTCTACATCAGTAGCACCGAATCCGGGGATATGCTCAAATTGTGGCGAAAATGTCTTTCAATGCGTGAAGTGTCGAGCGATCAATTATGATGAGAAGGTTCTTTTTAACTTCATTAATCTTCAGTTTCCAGGTTTTTCCTGAATTCCTTTGATTTTAACTGGAAAGCAAGGAAGTAGAAATGATTCTGGGCATATAACGATATTCTCGTTACGGAGTTGATGTCAACATGTAAATAAATGACTGACTCTTAGTTGTCATCGCCGTACTCTTCTTTTAAAGGATATGGTTGTTACTCATTGTATATTATCTATTATTCAGGAACCATTTTTATGTAATTCTTGCGGTTTTTGCAAATACGCTCGCCTGGAAGCAGTGCTTGTTGGTCGTTCATCACCTTCAGTACAGGCAATCGAGGACGATAATGACCGAAAGATGGTGAGGTATTCCTGTTGCGTTACTTCAGATTTTCTGGACTTATAAGAGCCATACTTTTTTCCTGGATCACATGCTTATTTATTATTTACCGTTTTCACCTGCAGTTTAGGACGCCCAGTATATTAAGTATGATACATATTTTAGAAATATCTATTTTGAGGTAGTATGTCAATCCAAAAAATGAGTGGTTTACTGTTCTTCGATTGACACATTTCATTCTGTGGGAGACTTTTTAATAAATAACTTCGGCAATTAAGTTTGAGCTGTTTTAAAGCCTTAAAAGTTAGCATATAATAATGATAATCGAAATGGAATACGATTCCAGACATATACCCTTATGGAAACATTACTGAACGACATTGAGTCGACACGTTGTCATATTGGAATCATTGGAGCCTTTTTGGAAAGATGCTCGTGGGATTCGGAACCGGCTACCCGACCAAATATGATTCTGAAGCACATGACTCTGCAATCGTTTACAAATTTTTTATCAAGTTTAAATTTGAAAGAGGTGGGACTGTTATCGTTTAAGGTGGTCTACATTTCATTCAGCTGATCATTTTGTTTAATTCAGATTCGTAGTGGTTATTTGATCATTTTCAAGAAATTCCGATTTCTTTATAGGACTGTGCGTTTGAAACACTGTATCGTAGTGCAGAAAAATTGCATAATAAATTGTGCGAACAAACTCGTCAGCTAGCAGCATTTCGAGCAGAAATTTTTCGTTACGACATTGAAAATGGTGATGAAGTGTTACCGGACAAACCTCTCACCAGTAATTTGCATTTTAACTCGTAAGTTTCTCTATGGAGATTTTTATAAGTTTACCAAGCCAATTTCTAGCGTTCTGCTACCTAACTTATTATTCCTTGAAATTAGCTAGTGGAGTTTAGAATATTGTCCGACTGGTTCCTAATTTCGAACAGTGGTGTTATTTCAGCTTTCAAAAAAAAAAAAAGAAAAAAAACAGACTTAGCTCATTAAGATCTGCACCAGTATATGCAGAATATGTCTTATTTCGGATGCATTTGTTAACTTATAATCGGATCCTCATGACTAGTATTATGAAAATACCTGAACTTTCATATTCATTTATGTCCAATTTGTGCTCAGTTGTATTTTATAAATATTTTCAGTGATTATTGTGTAGGCTGTGTGTCTGCACTAATAGTACACTGTGTTGCTTTAATACAGGCAGCGTGTAGTGATACAAACGCCATGGAGGAAATCATTCATCAAGATTTTGTTTTCAGTAGATTGGTAGGTTTTGCTAAGATTTGCTAAGATTGGTTCAGTAAAAAATTAGTTGAGGTCATTCAACTTCATTTATTATCAAATATATTACTTATTGCCAGGTAAAATCATATATGTAATTTGGTTATTATGGGTAAGTATATATCTAGGTAAGTACACATAGTATATATTTGGTTGTTGTGGGTAAGTATATATATTGAAAGATCACTTGACCAAGGGAAGAGTTAGATCACGTAATCTGATGAAAGCAAAAGGTTGTCACTAAAGGCAAATGGCATACATAGACGTAATGGTCACTGTTACCTGATGTTCGGTTACATCTTATGACTATCAAGAGGTATTCATTGAAAGTCCGAGCGATTGTTAGTGGTGATGATGTCATTTAAATTTTTTCAAAATTTAAATATTTAAACAAGCAGTAGTATTCTTTAAAAAAAAATCTATTCAAGAAACGGCAAACTAATACAGAATTTACGTTTTGTTTTGTGGGCCATGAATCAATCAACAACAAGCAACACTCTGTTTAAAAATGTCAGTAAAAATTTGGGGATCATTAAAAGGTTTTTGGCTGTCTCGTTTCCTTATATTGATTTTTTGCACTTAGGTGACCGCATGCGCACTTGGTGACCCAGTAGCTCGTTCTATTCATAGCTTGATTTGGAATCTCTCAGAAGTGAGCAAAGAAGCGACGCAGAAAATGTGTGAATTGGTAGAGAATGGCGCTCTTCCATGCTACTTGTTAACGAAATCGATATTTGAAAATAAATTCCGGTACCACCGTTCATTAGTCTGACAAAGAATTGAATAAAATTTCTCTGTTCAGTGGTAGTTTCGAAACTGAACATTTAGTCTACTGGTGAAGAGAGAGCTTACACGGGAACTTTAGGAAGAGGTAAACCTGCATAGGGTATGAGCTTATCATTTTATCATTTCCGGGTGAATTCTGGTCCTTACTTTGCACATTCAACCTTTATTTCGGTTTTAATTTCATTCCATTTGCTTGTAATTTGTCAATTACATTTTGATATCTCCTTTTGGCTGCAAATTCTATAGGGGATATGTTTTAGGTTTTGGGAGCAGAAACTGCGTTGCTTGATGCGCATGACTGTGCAAGGAAATTGCAATAGCGAGGTGGATTTGCATGCATTGGCTGTGTTTTTGAAAATTTGCTCACCATGTTCAACAAGCCTGAGAAATACTTCTGACATGGCTTCATTAGGTTTCAGTGCTGACAAAGTGGGGAACGCTGGTACTCTTGCTGGTAATATTTTATTAGTGTGTGAGCAAACTTTTTTCATGTGACGCAGAGCTTGTTCTATAATATATCGTGAATGTTTATCTTAGTATGTTAAAAAAAAATGTCTTCCACCAGATTACCTTTTACCTACACATGAAGAACAATCAAAAACAGTTCTGGATTCGCGAAATATTGGTCTGGAAGATAATGGCAAAGAAAATGAGCAGGAAAAACAGGTTTACACATTTCCTTGCTTTCCACTGAAGTTAGATTGTTTCGAGATTGAGAATTTGCTTGGAAAGCATTCACAGATATTAGCAGATTTCTTCATTGTGAATTCCTTACTTTGTAGAAAGTCACTGTAATAGGAATATTGTGAATTAAAGGTGTGAATTTTCGTGATGAAGAAATGTTGTGCGTGTGGTGAGAAGGGTGACTCAATTTTCATAAGTAATGACAAGTTGAGTTGAAGAGAACAGTAATGTTGCATTGCAATAGTTATGCTTTGTAGAACCTTGTTTTGGATAACACTCTTTTGCATAAAATCATGGAAAATATGAAAGTATTAGACGAAGAACCTGATTTCGAAAAATTACTCATACCTTCTGAACGATTCCCAACGATCGCGTGGCTACAAGGAAGGTAAGAGTGGAGATTGATCTTTTTATTTCTGATATTTGCGTTTCTTTTTATTTTAGGAATTTTCTAAATTGTTAGCATAGTTTCACTCTTTTTTTGCAAGTCATTCCCTCCAAGCTTTTAAGATTTTGAAAATAGTAACAATTTCTAGATTCATTTGGGCAGAATATACAAGACTGCTGCAAAACAGTGGTCCAGAAAGAGAGCGCAACATTCTTCAGTACATAAAACGTTGCACCGAAAGTGATCCAAAACGGAAATTTGTCAGTTTGCAACATTTTTATTGCTTATTTATCAATACAACGTTCTCTTTTTCTTTTTCTTTTTTCCCCCCCCCCCCCAACTTTCTTTAACGTGGAGAAATAATCTTCCCTTTCTACTACATGCCACTTTTCCGAGATCTACCGACTTAATAGATTCAGCATATTCTCTGGAAATGCCTTTCTGAAAATCTTTAAGCTTTCGGAGAGAATTATTCATATAAAACGCTTTAAGCAAATTTTGTCGTTCTAGGTGTTGTAATGTGATTGGAAATGATTACTTTCCGTGCTAAACACTTAATGAAATGGTTCTATGTATGCCTGTAAATTATTCAATTTTATAATTGGACATATGTAGCACCATTTCTTACTTTGCAGTCATTCGACCATTGGCTTACTCGTTGCATGTTTTCATCGGTAACAGCAGTTCGTACTGCAACATGTCGTTTGCTTGTGATGCTGTGCTTTGAAATCAGCAACGATGGTGAAGCACAAGTTGGTTCTCCTGTGGATATAGCTCTAGTATTGCAAAAGTAAGTTTCCTCTCCACTAATTAGAGGAATTTTTTTGATTATCGAGTCTTAATTACATCGAGATTCGGTAAACTACTTATAAATCACTGCAGATTTCATCATTTCAGCTTATGTTTTGCATTGTCGAAAAGCGTTTACTTATCGATATGTAGCTGATGAGCCATAATTTCAAAAGATGAGGTTTTGATGTAGGAGATGCTTTTTCTATAACTTGACGTATGATATGGAGTTGCCTGAATTTTAAAGGTTTAAATTCAGATTTAAATATGCATTCTGTATACCAACAAAGTGTGAAACCAGCTCATATCAATGGAGTTTGGTGTTGATGAAATCTGAAATTCGAATCAATTTGCAACATTTAGGAAACTATTTCTGTTTCTGCTTCAATCATTTATTTTGAAAAGATGTTTTGTTGACTGTACTTTTATTTTCACTGATGATAATTTGCCTCAGTTTTAACAGTAACCTCATTCAGGGTACTGTCATGGATGCGGAAAATTCGGAACGTCTCGGCTGATAATATTGACGAATACTTTTGTTTGGTGCGAACCCTGCTAAAAGCAAGCGAAATTCACAGCGTTCTAGTATCAAAACCAGTTGAATTTCATCTTGATGTCGTGAAACGAATTTTGTTGGTATGTCTTGATTTTCTTCTCTTAAAAAAAGGGAGCGGAATTATTACCAGAACAGGGAACTTGTATCAATACATTTAAGTCGTTTATGGATAAGATTATTATCCCTAAATCTTATTTAATTTGTTGATGCGCTTTCTTTTCTTGTTCATTACAGTTGTTTACAGGCAAGCTTGGATATACGTTTACGTGAAATGAACGGACTACCGGGAGATCTTTCAGCTGGAATTCTGCTAAATCATCTTATTCGTAATTCATTTTCAGTTGAATGTAATGCAGAAAAATGTATCACTTTCTAGAAAAACTGTTTGTGCTTGCTTTTCACTGAACTGAATAATTAGACAAATAACCTAATAATTCAACAATAATTCAACAAATTAATTTTACCTAATAATTCAAGGAATTAATTTTAGCAGTTGGTTATTGAAGCAGTGAAATAAATTCATAAAGATAGTTGTCAAGGGTTTAGACTACTTTGGGCAATGATGTGGAAGGGATCAATCGAGATCGATAACTCGATCCATTACACTGAATGAACGGTGAATATTGGTGATCTTTTGGTGTTACCTTGTTCATGTACTCTTTCAGAGGTTTTGAATTGTGTGATACGAATGGATAAGAAAGGTTGGAATTTGTTATATGAATATACTCCTGTTGTACTTCCACTTCTACTTCGAGCTGCATGCGCACTCAAACAAGTTACTGTTCATCGTACCTTGTAAGTTCTTAATATTATTTTCCAATATTCACATCAATAGTATCAGTGGAATATTGTGGAATGGTAAACAGTGTAAATGATACTGCTGTATTTCTAGTTATGTGAACGAATCTGTCAAAAACCTTAGTGTGCTGCTGATGCGCATTGCACTGAAACGGCCAATCTTAGTGCTGAAGGAAGTGACGAAGCGAATAGGAGCTCATCCGCAACAATTACGCATACAAGCTTATCTTTTATCAGTTATAAGTGATGTCATTTATCCGTTGCTGAAGAAAGAGGAGGATTTCTTAATACAAATCGAGAAGGATGCGCTCCAGGAAGATTATTTACAAGGCAGAATGTTAGGTAATCCATACAAGAGCAGTGATGCTGGCATGGGTCCTCTGATGAGGGATATCAAAAATAAAATTTGCCGAGATTGTGAACTGGTCGCACTACTGGACGACGATAATGGAATGGAGGTAACACTTGTTTCCAACACTTTTCAACACCTGATTCTTTTTTACGTTGCTTGTAGGTAAGCTGTTGGTGGCTAGTTGTGTCTTATTGTCTTAGTCTGCTTCATTACTCTGGATCTTTGTTGTCCTGTTGCTGTTAATGTTTGCTAACATCAGCAGAACAGAAATAATTTGGGATAAAACGATGAAAGCGGAGAAAAAAAATAGTATGAGTTAAAATAGTGTTACTAAGGGTAAAAATTGCAAACGTTAAGCTTTTTATAATTTGCTCTAATCCTTTTTAAACCATATTAACTTCTTAGCCCCAATTCAACTGCAAACTATGCTAGCGGTGGCCTGCGCTCTCGCTAGGATCTCCCATTCTAGATCAATCTTTACTGAAAGATCAGACAAAGTGTATCCACGAGCAGGATGGACTCCCTGCAGCTGTCCTAGGAGGACAGCAACTCTAACTTCAAACTCGGACAGATGGAGCCCGTTTAGCCCTTTAAGGCCATCTATCTAAAATCTAAGAGAAGGATATTCTAACAAAATCTATGTCCTGAGGACTGTACTGTCACTGTCGTAGCTGCTGAGTTTTGGCGGATGATCCCGAGAAGTAAAGGGGAGATCCAGTTCTGCGCACGCTGTCTTCATCTAAAAAATCCATGTACTCGACTGGAAGGTTGTATTCATATTTGTAGCGTTTGAGATGTGGGTAGAGCTTTTTTCAAATCTTCGTTCGCAAACCCCAGCCATGACGATGGGGATAATGGTGAACATTACCTTTTTTTTTCATTTTATAGCTTCTGGTGAATCAGCAAATTATTGCCTTGGACTTGTCGGTTAATGATGTTTATGAGAAACTATGGCGTTCTGATCATCACGGTCAACCGATGATTATAGTGTATCGAATGCGGGGTCTTCTTGGTGATGCGACAGAACCCTTTATAAAAACACTGACTGATACAAATGGTAAGTTCAGCAATTTAGATAGTTAATTCGGCTAAATATTGTGGATCTCAAAGAGTCATAATTTATATTTCTGTAATGATCCTTTGTGAAAAAGAATATATTACTAGTTTTTAGTCGAAATGAGGAAGAAAGATCTAGCTCCTTGCGAGTCAGTATTTAAATTTCTGTAACTGGTTTTATATGTATTTCCTACAACTTTCAGAAATGGCTGGATGACTTTCTGACAATCTTTCCGAAAGTAAAAAGAATTTCTCAGGAGATTTATTTATCTCATTTTACTGAAAAATAATTTCAGTTAGGGAGAAAGTAGACGATAGTCAGCTTCGTCTGGCTAATGCATTAGGCTCTCCAATACGTGCCTTTTCAATTATTTTGCCGATACTGGACAACATTGAACTTACTGGAGGAGGGATAGTATTATTACGCGAACTGCATCGATTGCTCACTTATTGCATAAAGGTATACATTCTTGCAGACGAGAAATTATAAATTTAGAAGCATGATTACGCAAAAACTGGTGTGGAAAATAATCCAAAAAAAATTTTTTTGTTTAGGTCGAGGGAAATCGTGAACAACTGAATGAATCTGGCGGTATCCGAAGGTTTCTGCATGTTTTCGAAGTGGCTTACAGAAGCGGTATTAAAGAAAAGTCGATTGAAGCCATAGCTCTGCAGTATCTTGAACTTAGTAGGATTCTCCTGGTTGATGTGCTCGCCACTGATCGGATCGAAAAGGTTCATTTTTTTTTTACTCTTCCTATTTGTACTCATATATGTACATTGCAGTCTATTGGTGGCGCGAGTTTTGAGCAGATGTCATGGTTACTAGAACTTTCAATGGGCAGCGATGAAGAACTTTCAGCATCAATACTCGAAGCGGTGACATCCATTGCACCGAACCTTTGCCTCGGCAATGCAGAAAGCATGGATGCTTTGGTCGAGACGTTTCGACCCTGTTGTCACTGGGATGAAATTGGTTCGTTTTGCTCTATTTTATTATCATAATGTATAAGTTTCACTTTCTTTTTTTGAAATTGGATGAACTGACGCTGATCAGACACAACGATTAGAAAAGATGATGGGTTGTGCTATTCCATCATTAATTTGCTCGAGCATATCTATGTGCTTCGTATGACATTATACAGCTTTTCTCTAAAAAGTTCGCTTAAAATGATGATGATCAATCCGATTAATTCTAATGTCCTTGATTTGAAAAAAGGATGAAGTCACCAGTGAGTGTTACAGATAACGATCGAACAATCCGAGATAAAGTGGTGCAGAAAGTGGAAACACTGTGCAAAATAACGAGTGCCATTCATGATAGTGCATCTGGACGGATTCTCAAAAAGAAAATGATGGATGCTGGATTGATTGCAGATGCATGCAGATATCTAGCAGAAAATCATCCACCTATATTCAATGTATCTGTAACGGGACCCGAATGGAAGTATTTTTTGTCAAAGCCTTCACTAAAATATGTTCTAAAATTAATGGCTGGCATGGCACGGGCTCATAAACCTTCACAGGTATCGCTTTTTTTATATAACTGGGAAGTTTTGTTATAGTGTAAAAAATGTCTTTCGTTTGTCTGCGTAAAAGTATGACTTTTCCTCAAGTTATTATACACTGTATTGATTGGAGTATCTAAAATAACATTCAACTTCATTCGTTATTGTCTTTACTTTAATGTTCTTTCTTTTGGTTACTTTTTGGATGATAATAATAAATAACTGATTTAATGAATTCCAGTTATGGGCACAGAGTTTAGGAGTTCTTGTCTCCTGCAGTATGTCTAAAATATTGATTTATAATTATTTGCTTCGAGAACTTTCCTGCTTCATTGTATTTCTTCTTGAATAAGATTGTCTTAAAAATGATTCTGATAAGTATTCAGGGGAAAACTTACTATCAAATAATATTTTGATATTTTTTCTAATAAAATAGGTCTAAAAAGCGCAAACAATTAATAGTGTTTTGCCTTTTCAACAGTTACTTCCAAAGGCTCAAAGGGAGAGGCTAACATGATTTATAACTCTTAAAATCATTTTTACGTAGTCCAAAACTCCCATGTCGAGTTGTGCTCCATCCGCATGATGAGCTCTGTGCGACTATGTTGTTTTGCAGGAAGCAATTGCCGAAAATTCGTTGCCCATACTCCACCGTTTGGAACAGATTTCATCAGCTGAACATATTGGAACATTGGCCGAAAATGTAATGGAAGAATTGAAAAAGAATGATCAAGTTGCTATACAGGTACTTATTAAATTTGGAATATCAGAAGGATTCGCTATTCGTTTTCTTATTTTAGAACTGAAATAGTTTACTTGTTTGTTGTTTCAACCAATTTTTGGTTGAAGATTGAGAAAGTTCGTCAAGAAACGAAAATAAAGAAACGTCAACTTGCAATGGCGATGAGGCAAAAACAGCTTTCAAAAATGGGCATGGAAATCGGCAAAAAAGGACAAGTGAAGATAAGTTGCTCTGTGTTTTTTAATAGACTTTGCAGTTTTTCATGCTATTTTTTCTTCATCCTCCTTCCGTAGGCTCTATTTTTTAGCACTGCTGGCAGAACCTGAGATAAATGTTAGAGCTTCCTAATATTATGGTAGTGTTTTTTTTGTTTTGGTTGTTGAATTCTTCAATTTATGAATAAGAAAAGAAATTACTTCATAAAGATAGGTTTGGATAGCAAACTAAAACTGGAAGGAGATAACTAACTTAAGGAGATGATTCGTAGCCCTTTTTTTTCTCCTTGCTAATTTGTCATTTGTTTACTTGAGGGATAATATTTCTTTCAGGTATCTACTTGTAAACTGATCAATGAATCAAATTCATTGGAGAGTGTATCAGATATTAGTATTTGTTGTATATGTCGGGAAGCAATGGATGCCAGTACGAGGATCATGATGGTGGGTTTGCTTTGGTCTGGGCAGTGATTTTATTGCCTAAATTTATTTGTTTTCCATAAATTATTTTTATGTTGAGATATTTTTATTTGATTTGGATTTATATGGTATATGTTCTAGTGAGGGAACTACGCTTGAAAGTAGACATAAAAGCTAAGACACATCATCTTTATTCAGTATTTGCGCTTAGTATGTCTAACAGCCAGAGATAACATCATCCCGAGGGAAGTTAAAACTGTTTTGCAAATCTTTCAGTGGTGGAACGTAGAAATGCTAGGATTAATGGGATTCATCAATTTTTTGGAATGTGAGCGTGATTTGAATAAGGAAGATTTCCGATACAATGTAGATGTTGGCCCCGTAGTTCGGGATTGTTAACTGCTTGACTCATTGCTTTCAATCTTCCAAATTTTCATTTTTTTTCATCATTTCTTATTTTTCCTTTTCTAATGTTTTTTCTAATGTTTTATTTTCTTCTTCTGCCTATCTCTATATTACCTACTTCTTTATTTCCCATTTTAGGTATATGCATTTGCAAGCCGACTGAATCTGAAAGAGAACAAAGTAATTAATGGTCGGAATTATTCGTTTACAACAGTGTCACAGATGAATTTAGTTCATCTGGATTGCCATTCCATAGCTGTCAGGTATTTTTTTTCAAACTTCCAATACTTTTTGGTACATAGTAATCGAATTAAATTTTCCAGTAGGGTGTTCTTTTTCTCTGTGTAAAGATATTTTTTCTACAGAATGGCTGGTTCGCGAAGTGAATGGGCAAGTGCAGCATTGCATAATGCCAATACGAAGTGTAATGTTATCATGCCGATTTGGTCAAAGCGAGTGAAAGATTCTGATATGGAACACTCCTTCCAACGGTGAGCGAACACCATTTTACTAGATTTAGAAACTGTAGGCATCAAATGGACAGTTACTGAAAATTCGCCAGAATTCGGATGAAATTAGCCTTTTTTTCCTTACGTCGTTATGTATGAACGATAAGGATTATCGAAGTTGAACGTATTGCAAGTTTCTAAGTTAAAAAAAAAGAACAGTGCATCATGTTGGTCGGACAATCCGAATTTGAGCAGTCAAGGAATTAAACAGACTGAATAGACTTCATTTCAGAATGCCCTTAAATAGTATCGTTGAAATCTTTGAAGTATAACTGCTTCGCTACCTATAAACACTGAATGCCTTTTGCTGAACTTTTTATTTGCAGTTGCAAAGCTTCATATCTTTACATTCCCTCTTGTGTAACTAAATATATTTGGAGTAAACTGAAATCCTTTTAACTCATTTCAGGCTATCAACAGATCTGGAAGTAGCTGTTGATTGTGATACGGTAAATTTGGATACCCTCACGCTGGATATAGCAGAGTTGCTGGATCGCTTTGTCAAATACCGTTCATTTTCAGCTCTTTCTCATGGTGGCGGTCGTGAATCGAACATGCAGTACATGGCTGTTTTAATTCTTCTAGTACAGTATTTGAAAAAGGTGTCACCATCATCTGAACCAGGCGAATCTCATTCATTTATTCATCAGATTAGTATCAGTTTGGTAATGGACACTGTGGAACAATGGAATGACAAAAGATTGGATTTGTTAAAAAGTTTACAAGAATCCAAGCGATCTTGGAAAAATGCGAAGCATGAATTGCTTGTCTGGACAACCGTTGATTATTATCAAAATAAAATTCTTCAGGTAAATTTCGTATTAAATTCTGGAGAGCGAAGGTTGAAAGAACTGCAAAGCCTATCTGCAGTCTTGGGCTAAATTCTGAATCCTTTGTTCCACTTCTTTTCTTTACGTTCTGAAGGTACTGCAACAGAATATTACAGTCCATATTTTAGTGTTATGAGACAAATTCTGATTGACTTCAGATCTTCTATCGTAAAGGAGAACCTTTGAAAGTCTTATATCTTATTCACGTTACAGTGCAGAACTGATGAGCGTACTCAATACATGCGTGAAAATATAATCAAAATTATGGAAAACTGTTCCAAATTTGTTAATTATTTCGACTCCGAACTGTCACAATGTGGAAGTTATGATGAATTAATGAAAGCAGTCGGTAAGCGTTAACCCCACTTTTAGATCAGCTCAGTCTTTAATGGGATGAGGTGTGAACGATTTATCGTGGTTGAATAACTTGCATGTTATGCACAGCACCGCAGGACATGATTAAAGTTTGAGATAGACCAATGGAATCCTATGCATTCAGTAATCCGAATATGACTGGAATTTCCTGACGATTAATTTTTCTCATAAGCCCTGTACCCGACAACACTCTAATTATAGCCTCTATGGTACAAGCATGACAGTTAATGGGAAAATAATTGTTTTTTTAGACGAGTGAAACTAAATACCTAAATTTATTATTTTCAGATGTCGATATTGGTAATGTTGTCTTTGAATAAAAAAATTTTTTCCTGCTGCTAGTGTTAATCTGTTCTTCCCATCCTGCTCAGCAAACTAACATTCAGTACTTGTGTACTTCGAAATTTCTTACGAATCTAATATTTTACGTAGAAATAATTGAAAAGGACCATGAAGTATGGGAAGTCTAAAATTGTCGTTCTACATAAAGCAGCTAACAGCATGTTTTCTTGACCTGTAAATTGTCTTAAATATAGGGTTGATTCATTTTTGTATACCTTAATTATCATCATTTCTGCTTTAGGGATATTACATTGGAACTCATTCGAAACATCTTGATGTCTTTTGACTGTTCTTTCCTTGAAAAGATTTTGTAATTCTCATCCGGTAATGTGATGGTTATCGCTTAAGACATACTATCACATAAGTTTAGTATTTCTCGAAATCCCAAGAAATCGGTTCTATTTAGCGCTCAAATTTTTACGCAGGATATGAAAGTAATTCTGTGAAGATAGCTTTGTAAAATTCTTCACTGAATCGGACCATCAAAATTAGAAAGGGTAAAAATATGGAGGAAATGATAATCGTTGTTTTCAAATAAACCGATGATCTATGTTTGTTTCGTGTAAACATTTGCACTTTCTGGAATTTTTTGAAATAAACTGAATGTTTCGTTTTCCAGGTGATGTGAGATTTCATTGGCTATTCTTTTGCCAAGGGTTGAGTTTGGGCTCAACCAAGGGTTGAGTTTGGGCATTTATTAAGAAATAGGCATATTCCTTATAAAAAGATTTGAAAGCGGTGGCCATTTCATGTTCTAAAAATTTTTCATTACTTGTACATGCGTGGTTGCGCTGATGAAGTGAAAACTGAACTGTATCAGATGCATATCAAATTCTGTTTATGATTCATTGGAGTTGCTGAACTGCTGGATGTTTAATAAAATTCCTGCTGTAAAGTTCCAACTGAGGAACTTTCTGACTGAGGGCCCTGGTGCTGTGGGACGTTAGGCAGTCACTCCCGCATAAAGCTAGCTCATGCAGGAATATGGTTCTAACCAATAATTCTTCCTGGAACTTAGACGTGTAGTTCCTTTTCTCCATCCGTTCTATTTTCTCCAGTTGCCATCGAGTGTCCAATAATGTATTATCCACCGCTCCAACCCCTCAGCTACCCAATTTTGGTAGTCGCACCTCTCCGAGATTACAAATTTTCACAGCGGGCAGTGGTTCAGTTGACGTGGGAATAGTCCTCGTTTAAATTTTTGTAGTAGTTCGAAAAGATTGTGAGAGTGTTTACTCTTTGTTGTGGTTACTTTGGCCTTTTTTTAACCGTTGCCTAGTTGAGCTGAGAGTGTATTATATGACATCACACTAAAATACCCTAGGTACCACTAGAATACAATATATTTTACATGCACTATGTGTAACTTGGAATATGTTTATTTTCGTTTAATGTATGGACCGGAGGAGATAATTATTAGTATGTGAGTTGAGGGTATCCCTTTTCTCAATATTTCGCATGAAAATTGCGTATTCACAGAAAAATTCAGGTGAATATAGTACTAAGTGGTTGAAATTGTTTTTAAGTGACTGTTAGAGCAGATATGTCGTCCTCCGACGAAGAAATAATCGTACGGAATCCATACACTTCGATTACAAGTAATGGACGGCGTAGCAGTCGTAGATCACATGTCTCACGTGATCAGGAATCAAAAAGTTTAGCGCTAGAAGAAATGAAACGGGCACGTGATGCCGGCGGTGTCCATCGAGTGGATGTATGTTTCTGTTTTTAAATTTCACCGAAGCACAACCTTCAATGGCTTTCAATCCTAACAGCTAGACTTTGAGGGACTAGAAACTGTCCTTCATATTCCTTCATGTTTCATGTTTTAGATAGCAAATCTGGTAAAGCCTGTGTATGAAGAAGTGGATGAGGAAGAATATATGAAAATTGTGCAAGAACGACAGAGGGATGACTTTGTGGTTGATGATGGTCCTTATTTAACTGAAACTTTGTTTGGTTTTAATCTTAGTGTTATAGAATCAGAATTCAAAGGAAAATCCAGTGATTCAAATTTGCAATTGACTGTTTTTGTTTTGTTTTTGTTTTACTTGATGGTGCTTATGAGGATGGGAAAGATTTGAGATTCTTTAATTGAAACAGAACTTTGAGAAACTCAACAATTTTTGGTAATTTCCTTTCTAGATGGTAGTGGTTATGTTGATTATGGCATTGATTTCTTTGACGAAGAACAGTGCAGTACAACAAGGAAGTCAAAAAACCAAAGGAAAAAAACATAATAAGCGCGGTTAAGTGTCTTCAATTTTTCGGAAAAATGTCAAGTAGATAATTATGATAATTTTAAGGCACTTTGCAATCTAGATTTTCTTTTTTATTAGGTTGCTATAACATCGTTATGATCATTACTTGTATGAAATCATGATGAAGAATCAAGTTTATTGCTCATGGATTTATGTTTCAGATAAGGCGAAAAGGAAGGCGATTGACGACTTTTTCCATACCTCGAAAACAAAGAAAGTGAAAGAAGAGGTTAGTTTCGTGACTATTTTCGGACTTTATTGCGAACAAAATGAAAGACAGTTATCAGAAAGAGAAAGAAAACAGTTATCAGAGAGGAAGAGAAAGAAAACTTGGCTTATATTAGCATAGCGCTAAGCTTGTTATCATGGTTTACTTATACAAATATGTGAAGTAAATTAAGGAAATCTCCTAACTTAAATCCAGATGCAAATATATTTTTCTAATATTGCAGAATGCATTGACTGTAACTGATGACCCAGATGTAGAAGCATTACTTAACGAGTGTGATTTGTCGAGCTTTTTAAATGAAAATGCAGTTGAAAAAATGGATGGTTCCAAAACCGACAGTTTGTCGTTAATTAGGTCTGTATCTGCAAGTATCAGAGGATTGCGTGATTTATGATTCTGTACTGAACATTGACGATCTTAAGACCTTCAAATATTTTAATTATTTTTAAATTGAGAGCAGTTGTTCTCCTACTGAGGTAATCCTTTTTGTTCTCAGTCTTTAAAATTTAATGCCAGTTCAGGCAAGGGAAGTAGAGTGACAAATATTCTAGTTTGATGTACTGGTTTCAATTATTCATCTATTCAATTCATACTGTAATCGTCTTTTTTCAGCTTAAAGTTTTCAAAAGAGTAAGGAAGCTAATTTTGCAGAAACCAATTTGTTAAGGAATCAGAAACAGCATCAAAATTGAAGGAGTCGGATGAAGTCAATGAATGCAGAGAACATTTGAATGCGACTGCATCGCCGCCTCTACCGGCGATAATTGGTGCAAAAAATTCAACAAATTTGGAATCTGTATCTCAACAAAGCATTGAAAAGGTGTCGAAAAAAGAATCTATGATTGCTTGAGATGATCAAAAAAGCCAAGTTGTGGTAGAGGATACACTATCCTCTATGCTAAGGAATAATAAATAAATGATTTTCAAGAAAAAGAAATCAGGTATATGGGAAGGAACTTTGGATGCTGTGCTAGTAGTTTTCTCGACAACTAGTGGTTTTGAAAGCCCTCACAGTGTTCGATCCGTTAATGCATTGGTTTAGTTTTCTTTAGTCGAAATTAATGAAAAGCTAAGTTGTGACATGAAATGAAAATTTTTTACTGTTAATTTGGGATTTCAACTATTAAATATAAACTAGAAAAGTGTTACTTAAACATTGAGTCAGGATAAAAAGTCATTTTTTGCATATGCAGAAATCTGCACACGAACCTGTATATGCAGATAGTTTTATGGATGTGCATTCTGTTATGAATAAATACTCCGATAAATGCATCGTGGAAGAAGTGGTGCAGTCAGAAACATGTTTCATCTGGGCTGATAGGTATCATTACTTTTTTAATCTTGCTTGTGACAGAAAAATCTTGCAATAACGATATGCTTGACATTCTAAACTTTTATTTTCAAATATTTTTGGCTAAATCTATTTTGCCATTTAACGAATCTAGGAAGAAAGCAGTGGATGAGCAACCCATGAAAGATAATATTGCTGCTACATTTGGTTCTTTTATGCGTACGAATTCAAAAGGAGAATCAACACTACGTTTTTACTGGCTTGATGCATTCGAAGATCCTATAAAGATACCAGGTTTGCTGTGTCTGTTTTTCCATTCCGTAGGTTCTGACGAAGCTGGTTCAGGATTCTTTTTCTCCTGCACAAACTGACATATGATATTATAATACTTGAATAAATCGAAATGATACTGAAGAATTATTTTGACTCACAAAAAATACCGAAGAACAGAGAAGAAGATTATAACAAACATCGTCTCAAAAATGGCAACACATTACAGTTGAATATTTTCCAATGAGCTTTCCAATTCACTTGTCAGAATTGTGTGCATTATTTTAGTGGAACAATGTTCTCTTGAGCAGATAATTTTAGTATAAAATGGTTAATATGTAGACTCGAAAAATCACCTTTTTTGAGCTTCTCGATGTTTATTTTTATCCTTCTTTTTCTTCGGTATTTAATTGTGAGTCAGAATAATTTTTCATCATCATTTCAACCAGTGTTCTCTGCTATGCTCTAGTTTAGTTCCTTAAAAAAATTTTTTTTAGGAACGGTTTATCTTTTTGGTCGATTGATCAACGATGGTCTTTCTGAAAGCTGTTGCGTGATTGTGAAAAATATATGGCGACAAGTTTTTTTCTTACCTCGTGAGAAGGTTCAGAATGATTCATGTTCATTTGCATATCTTACTTTCTAACTGTTTCAGATGTTTTACGATATCAGTTTTGGATATCGGATATCTTGGGTTTAATCACTCGCTTTAATTATTTGCGAACTGTTTAAATCCTTTCTTTTGCAAATTTCTCTGAAATATTTTATTTTTAGCTTCTTATAAACGAAGTGCAAACTGATGAAGTGGATTTAACGCAAGTCAACGAAGAAGTGCAGAAAATACTCAGATCGATGGGTGTTAAAGTTGTCAAATGCCGAGTTAATTTTCTCAGTTTTATTTTGTAATTTAAAGTTCAGATTTCTAATAAAATGCATTTCTAAATATCTCATCGTTTTACGAGATTGAGAACAGCTGTGTTTTGTTCGTGCAATCATTGCCACCTTTATAATTTTAGAATATTCAAGTAAGCCATCGCACTCCTCCATATAAAGTTGAAATGGTTTAAAATATCAATCATGTCATGTAAACAGCTGAATTATACTTGTTTTTGGTACTTTCCGCGGAATATCTGCTAATCTTGGTAACTTCAAGTTAGGGTTTGTATAAGCTTCGAATTTTCAAAATCTTTTCAGCCATGTGAGAAGAAATTTGCATATAACGATGGAGTCGTGCCGCGGAGTGCCCAAGTGCTTGAAGTGCATTATAGTGTAAGTTCATAAAACATCAAGTGTTTTGGGTTAGTATCTGCTCTGAATTTCTAGAGTTATTGTTGGGTGGTGAACTTCAGATATGTCCTCTCTATTTCCAAAAACTAGTGTCATTGGTGCATCATATATAAGGAACTAATTGAACAATGAGATAATACCTTCACTTCGTAGAAATGTAACGATTTTTGCAGTTTAATGATCCACGATTATCAGTAGATCTTAGTGGAGAAACATTCAGTCATGTTTTTAATACGACTGCTAACGCCATGGAAAGATTGTTGATTGAAACGGGTATGAAAGGACCTTCGTGGGTAGAAATTTCTGGCTGCGGTATGTTAGACTTTTCATAATAAAATCTCTACCATTGTCTTTAGGATTTTAGAAACTTGCTCTTTATTGCTTTTTTTTTGAAGAAGAACAGTTTGTTGTCAATTTTGGAACCTATATCATCAGCTTTGCAAGAAATTTTATAAACCACTAAACAAAGTAGGATTTTTCAGATGTCTCTTCTCTTCAAGTAAGTTATGTCAAACATGAATTTGTGGTTGATATGAAACAAATGAAATCGATTTCGATACTTGACTGCTCGGACCCACCGCCGGACCTGAATTTGTTGACAATGAACATAATTACAGTCATCAACCATAAAAAGGAAAACGAGGTTCAGTTTTTTCAAATTTCCTCTTGAAATGTTTTTGAAATTTTCTTTCTTTCCAACCTCTATTTTTCAGATTGTTTCAATCTCCTGCATATTTGACCGAAAATGCACAACTGCAAACCCTACTTTAAATAGAAATTCTTTGGAACGTTTCTGCAGTAGGTCTTTTAACATATCTATCAGCGAGAATTATATCGCAAGAAGATCTTCCATACCTCTTCATATACCACTTTACTCTGTATTTTTGAAATTTTTTTTTAGAACGAAATAAACGCTATAGAAATCATTATTTTCCCTTATCAATAAACTAGAACACTACTTCAGAAAAAAAAAAAAATTGCTTTTCAGTTCTTACAAAACCAACCCTTACCGCTTATCCATTTGATCTTAAAAAAAATCTGAAGCAAGTCGGAATGGAAACTGTTGTTTACGAAACAACGAACGAGCGTCATCTGCTCAATCATTTTTTGTGTAAATTGCAAAATCTGGATCCTGATGCATATGCAGTAAGTTTTTTCTCTTATTTTGACAATTTTTTTGATGAAATTGCAATGTCCGTAATCTCACTGTGTTTGCCCAAGATTTCTGAATTCAATTTTTTTTTTTGTGTACATTCAAAGTGATATGAAATGTATTTGATATATCGTTAACATTACTGCAAAAAAAAAAAAAAAACGTTCTGTTCACAAATTTGAAGCAACTGAAGAATTTCATTAAATACTATTAATATCGAGAAGCCCACTCATTTATTGTTTGAACGAATAGAATTTGATCTTAGGGACACGATTTAGCGGCTCAGTTTGCTATATTGTCTTCACGTTTGCAAAAGCTCGGTATTGCTCATTGGTCACGTTTGGGCCGTTTGAAGCGTTCAATTAAAATTAGGCAAACTCTTCATATGAAAACTTCGCAGTGGGAACTGACAGCTGGACGTTTAGTTCTAGATAGCAGGTGATATTTATTATAGTGCTTAACGACTGAGTATCTGTACAATGAGAACTGAAAGTCGAGATTTTTTGCAGATGGTTATTGCGGACCCTTTTCTCACAAGTTGTGTTGAACTTTTGTCCAGCAGTATTTTTAGGTGAGTTCTGTATTTTCAGATTATCAGCTATGGAGTTGGTAAAAATGCGAAGCTATGATCTGTCTGATCTGTCATCTGATTTGCTTGGAATAAACCATCACTTTGCCAGGAAACAAGACATCTCTGCAAATTTTGCGTAGTTCTTTCAGTTGTTTTGAATTTATTTTTAATTCTTAATTCTGATGTCAAATGCTTCACCTATGATCTCTTATTTGAAGAATACTGATTTTCTGAAATATAACTACTTCACAGATTGGAAGCTTAACCAATGAATGCATCAGTTTCGTTGCTGATAATGCGAACTTCATTCGTTATACTCTCCACTGTCCAAAAGTAATCAAAACTGCTGCTCGATAGCTAAGTCGCACTGGATGGCGTAGCAGTCCTAGTGTAACTATAATATATCAACAGTAATTTTTAGATATGTTATACAAACTAATTTAAGGAATTCAGTGCAGCTGATCAGATTTATCAACAATTCTTGGATGGATGCCTGGTTATCCCTTGCTATTATTGCTGAACTCAATGCTTTACCGTTATTTATTCAAATTACAAAAATTGTGGGCGGCGTACTGGTGAGAATTTCTTTGAAAAACATAGGTTTTAGGTGATAAACCGGCGTCGAACACCGGGATTTGCATTTTTCCATCTAAAGTTCGGTTTAATAACCAATCTTTAATTCCGATATATTTTTTTAATAGTCGAGAACAATGTTGGGTGGACGAGCGGAACGAAACGAATATTTATTATTGCATGCATTCAACAAAGCTGGTTATGTGCCACCAAATAAATATCAACCAGATTCTAAGAAAAGGAAACAATCTGGGTTGAAAGACACCAAAAGTGTAGATGACGATCTGGAAGATTATAAGAAAGTGCAGCACAACCGCAAGGGGCAGTATGTGGGTGGTTTGGTATTGGACCCGAAAATCGGTTAGCTTTTTAGACTAATAAATTTGATCCATAAATTTTGAAAAAATCCGGCTCTTTAAATTGTTATAATTTATTCCCAAGTAGATGCGTAATATGTAAAACTGGTTTCTTTTTTAGGTTTATATGACACATTTGTGTTACTATTGGATTTCAATAGTTTATATCCAAGTATCATCCAGGAATATAATATTTGTTTTACCACTGTTGACATGTCCAAAAAAGTTTGTTGAAATTTATTCCTGAATTTGAAGATGTTCTCGATTATTCATATGGTTGGAGAATATTTTGCTTAAAATTTCCTTTCATAATCCAAAATTTTCTTGGATAAAAGGGTATTTGTAATTTCAAGAAATTATAGGACAAAAATGAAATGCCGGAACTGCCAAGTGATGTAAATGAAGGCATACTGCCGCGTGAAATTCGGTCGTTAGTGGAAAGGAGACGTGATGTGAAGAGGATGATGAAGTCGGAAAAGCTTACACAGCAGCAAAGGCAACAGGTATAGCTTATTCGCCACTTCCTATTAGTTTCTCCAAAAAATAATGTAAGATTATGGAAATATAAAGATACATAGTTAGCAGATTTGGAGTTCTTGTCCTTTTTGATTTAGTGAAGCTTATGGTTTTCACAATTTCGAGCACCAAATTGTTTCCCTATTTTCATTGCCTATTAGCTGTCCAAATTGTTTGTCCGACTAAACAAATGATATCTGAAGAACAGCAGCTTTATTGTTCGGTATTAGTAGATGCGCAGTCATCCTTGCATTTTCAGGTTTCAAGTCATTTTCGAACTTGTCAATTCTTTAAGAAACTTCGAAAAGTGATCTCTTCTTGGAATTTCATACATGATTATTTTCAGTATGATATTCGTCAGATGGGATTGAAGCTAACAGCTAATAGCATGTACGGATGTCTCGGATTCCAACAATCGCGTTTTTATGCGAAACCACTTGCTGCGCTGATAACGGCTCAGGGACGAGAAGTACTTTTTCATTTATTCCCATAATACCAATAGCATTCAGTGATTGAGTCCAATGGAGTTCCCTATAGCACTACTATTATTGTCCTTTAATTTGCTGCATGATAACCTCTAATTTTGTATGCTTTAAAATTTAGTGTTTTTCACGATACGGTGGGTCCACTAGAAATGATCCTATAATTGTCCTGCAGATTCTTATGCACACGAAAGATTTGATCGAAAAAAACGGTTATTCTGTTATTTATGGTGATACTGATTCGGTAATGATTAATACTGGATTTTCGGAACGGTCTGAACTGCAGCGTGTAAAAAAATTGGGAAATGAAGTAAGTATTTACTGCCAAATGCAACTTTTTTGATTTTCAGAACTTTGAAATTCCTATAACTTGGTTTTCTTTAATTTTATATACCTACCTCAACAATAGAATTTCACTAAAATTCAACGTTTGAATAAAAAGCTTTGCCATCGCACGGAACTCCTTGTTGTCGAATAATGATAACCAAAATAAGACAAAATAAGGCATCGGATGTTTTGGATTTTTACCTGCTGAAACTTCTTTTTTCCATTCAGATTGCTATGATTATCAGTGACTATCCTACGACTTTCATTAACTTTCACTGATATCACTTTCAGATCAAAAAATAATAAACCAGTCTTATAAAAAATTGGAAATTGATATCGATGGTATATTTATGAAGTTGTTGTTACTGAAAAAGAAAAATATGCTGGTTTAGCGGTCGATCTGAATGATGAACGGAAAACTAAGCGTGAAATTAAGGGTCTAGACATTGTTCGCCGCGATTATTCGTTCATTGTAAAACAGATTGGAAAGTAATTTCTTATTTTTAAATGATTTTGCTTAAACAATTTGTGAGGTTTTTGTTACAAATTTTTTTGAAAATTTTTCCTCTGAAAATTTTCAAATTTCCGAGCATCTTATTCCTATTATTACAGCGAAATATTAGATATAATCCTATCAGTGCAATCACAAAATCGCGATGAAATCATTGGACAAATTCACAGTCGTTTGCGAAAACTAGGAAAGGACATAGCCCAAGAACTGCTAGAAATTTCGTTGTTCCAGATTTTTAAGGTTTGCTAACTTCAAGTTTGAAAAATCGATTTCAACCTGTACTTAACTCTCTTTTAGCAGCTGACTCGGAACCCCCATGAGTATGCAAATATTAGTGTTCAGCCTCATGCAGCTGTTGCTCAGCGACTGAATGCGACCGGGAAGTTCAAATTTCATCAGGGTGATACGATTGGCTATATAATTTGTGAGGTATTCGTTAAATTAACTAATGATCGAACTTTTATTTAAAGTATGTGTTTCCTAAATCATCTTAGGTAGGGCCCCAGTGTGCAGATTCCTCTGCTTTTCACCGAAAGCTGCTTAAGTTGGGCAGCCTCATTGAATTACCTTATTAACGAATACTGGCTCATCAGTTTGAAGTATCATAACGTACTTCGACTTTTCTTGATCATTATAAACTCAGTTAAATTTCTCGTCCGATTTCATACCATTGAGGGTATAGTGGAATGATCATGCGCTATATGATGCATAGTTTTTGTGCTTTTCAGAAGGGAACATTTCGTGCAGACTTTTTAAACTATATTATGACATCAAAAATCTTAAAATCTTTACCTTGCAAGTTTGAATTTTAGGATGGTAGTGGAAAACCGGCTACTCAGCGTGCCTATCACCTAACAGAAGTTTTGGAAAGTAAGGATCTCAGAATTGGTAAGAAATAAATATTCAGTTGCTATCCATCTGTGAACAGTTACCCGTCGATTTGTTGAGTTCGACTATTTTTTCAATATATTTTGTAATATAATTCTTCGGGAATGCAAATCTCATTTTAAAGAAAAGACACTTTAGATTTTCAATATTATCTGGTGCAGCAGATTCTTCCAGTTGTAAGCAGGTTGTGTGTCCCAATCGAAGAATGTAATGAAGCTTGGGTAGCACAAGCATTGGGTTTGTTTATTAAAGGAAATAAAAATTTGTGAATCATTTAAAATCAAATCATGGCAAGATATTATTCAATTATAGACCGGACTACCAACTTCATATCTGTCTCATCTTTTACCCTTATTTACGGAGTGTTAGTACCTTTTTGATTTAGAATATCTGTTGACTCGAGATACTTTCCGCGCTAACGTATTAGAAGCATTATGATGTAAACCCAACACCAGTACCAGCTGGTAGATTTTTTGAATGTTTTTATCGCAGGTCTCGATAGTGTGGCGTATCGAAAGCATGCTATATATGAGGAAAATATGGATAGAGAAGAGCAATCTCAGAGTTTTCCGCATTATAGTCTTGAGTATTGTGAATCGTTCAAGTTTGTGTGTCCAAACGATGGCTGCAAGCATGAGTTCCTTGTTCGTGAATGTATGGTGCAGGATGTGAGTTTTCTTTGAACTACTGTCTCAGTTTGTAAGTATATTGTATACCTGGTGATATGTTGAAGTTATTAAAGCATAAGGCTTCATTACCTTCTTTCGAGAAGTTCTTCGAGAAGGTTTAATAACATGGTATATCGTATCCAGTTTACAGTCATATAACCACCACAAAAATGTTGCGCTGGGAAGTCCTGAACTGATGATATTGATGAGATGCTCTGTGCACTCTGTGAGTTAGTTCATGCTTACTACAGTATTTCTAACGATTTTATAGGATAATGGTGAACAGAAACTGTGGTTGAACGATTGTTCTGTTTGTCGTAATTCTTTATTATGCTTTGGTGCATATTTATACAACCAATTGCAGCTTACCCTTGACAAAGTGATTTCTGACTATTACAAGGTAAGCATTCAACGAATTATCAAGTATTTCATCTTATGCTTTCAGCTTCAAATTCAAGAAGTCCTCGGAAGTTATGACTCTCGTAATTGTTATTTTTAGGTTTCATATGTATGTGATGATATTGGTTGTGCATATCGTACACGGACATTAGTTTTGGAATGGACAAGAGAAGGTGTTCCATGTCCGAGATGCAAAAGTGGATTCATGAGAAGAGAGGTAAGAACTCATCGTATGATAATAAAGATTGAAGCGCATATTTACCGTTTGTTTCCAACATTCATAAATCTTCTATGTATTAACAATTTTTTCGACTCTGTTTAAAGGTTTTAAAAATTTGTATTCAGATGTATGATACTTCTATTCCACTTTTTCATGTCAGTATTCATCAAAAAGGCTTTATGAACAACTGATTTTTTATCACAAATTGTTCGATGTAGCGAAGGTGATAGATAATTTCACCGAAGAACAGAGAAGTTTGCCTTACGACTTATCTTTGTTATCCTTTGAAGTCCTTTACAGAATGATATATTTACGGTCTGATGGTGCCCGATGAGAAAAATATGTTTTAAGACATATGCACTTAATGTACATAATATTCAACATTTGGATATGTAATATTAAACGTGAAAAATATGTAGACAAATCACCAAGAAGACTTAAAAATTCTAAAAAGGAAATAATCTTCCATTAGGTAATTGAATGCTTAGGCGTCCTAAAGCCCATAATTTCCATTCTTAGAACTGAAGTAAACTGCGACCGCTCTCCTTGATCACAAAAATTAAATCGCTGAATGTTCTTTTCCAGTGAAACTGCGATGTGGAAGTGGTTGGAAGGAAGCTAATGCTCTGCTCGCTGGATTACTCTCATTATGTGATCAGTATATTGCTGATAACCAATACAATTGTGTGTCGCTTTCGTACTTATTTTCTGTTATGGGATCATTGTAAATTATACAGCACACATTTATTACTCGCTTTTTTTCCAACGTTATGCATGGTTTTAGCCAGTTGATTGGTTATTAAGTTTGAGAAACATTTCGACTATTTCCCATTCCTGAAGATTTAGATTCCTGTCAGGAAACATTTATGCTGCGTAATTTTTACTTTTTTTTCTTGAAGGATAATCACTTGCAAGGGCTTAAATTTTTGGGTGTCTCATCCCTTGATTGCTTTAACAGATCGCGAGAAAATGCCAATTTATGATAACAGTCTAATTTCGCGATTACTGTCGACTAAAAAAAACAACCAAAATGTAAAACAAACGTTTTTTCCTTTCTCGAGATTGTGGCTCGTTCCCATATGTTAGCCGAAACATACATGTTAAGTTGAAAGAATTTGTAATTCAGTTATTTCACTACCAACAGCTTCAATAGCTGGAAAGGACTGAAATTTAAAAGTAGAAAAATCTAGCAATGAAAAGTAACACCGTAAACGGAAATATTGGAATACCGAAATTAAAGTTATGTTCAAATAAAACTTCCACGATATCTACTAAACAGCATGATGAAGTCCTGTAAGTAAAATTAAGGCAATGAAAAGGAAGGATATAAGCTAACAATGGAAGAATATCAAGAAGACATCAAGGCACTTATTCCTAGCTGTACAATGCACCATGCAAAGGGGCAGCCATACCTCAATGATAATTCCGGTGGAGCTTACCAAAGACCTTTACCCTAATCCTAGGTACATATATGCAGAAAAAATCCTACACGGTCAGTTTTTACAATCAAGCAGATTACAACGTCCTCTCCACCTATCCGTCAGCATCGAACAACGAACTATAATAACTCTTCAGGTGAATGGATACCTTTGTTGAGAAATTTGTTTTTCTGTTGAACTCGTTCCTCGGCGATACAGATTTATTCGGGAGGTTATATTGTTGTACAATATTACTAGTACAATCTTACTAGTTAACAACAAAAAAGGGTATAAGATATGTATGTATATAACACGATGAATTGGTAAGCAATGACAAATGAGTTATACAAAAAGCAAGTAATATGATCAATTAACAAACTCCTTGTCGTTGCCTTGGACAATAATTTGACTGTTGGTTAGTTGATAGGTCGTTGAGTTGGGAATATGTTACGGAAACTGTATTTAGTGAATAGAAGAATATCGTAGTTTGTTATGCAGTGGTGGCGGATATGCGAAGATATCGTTAGTTGTGGGTTAGTCGCGAAGGATAAGCGATGGGGATGTATCGTCTGCCCGATTGTAAAAACTGGATTGAACCCTGTCTCGGAATTTGAGGAGCTTTGTAAGCTCCATCGGAGCTATCATGGGGGTATGATTGCTCTTTAGCACTGTCCATTGTGTAGGTACTGAGACGTTTTTGGCTTACATTATTAGCTTACAACCTCTTCATTGTTTTAATTTCACTTGCAAGGTTTCGTCACCTCGTTTGTTGGATATTGTGTTTGTTTGAATGTAGCTTTAATTTCGGTAATCCGACAGAAAATTTGCATCATGATTTCCGGAGTTTTTCCGACAACCTTCCTGCAGTATATCCCCAGCTCAACGAAGGACAAGCCCTTATATCTCAAACACCACAACTTATCCACGAATCAACAGTCAACTATTATTGAGGGCAACAAGGTATTTGTCAGCTGGTCATACTGCTTGTTTACTGTATAACTTATCACTGGTTATCAGTTTACCACATTTTAACACTTTTTTTTTGCTGTTATTACTAGTAATACTGTGCAAGTAACAACATTATATCTTGAATAAATCTATCGCTGACAACGAAGTCAACAAATTAGCTTTCCCGAGAGGACTTTTAGTATATCAATCGGGAAGAAGAGTAATCTGCGATAAGGTAGCGCAAATCCGGCGAAGAGGAAGCTAATCAAATTCTCAATGAAATGAAAGAATTGAATTTGAGTTCGACAAACAATTACCTCTTGAGGTTATGCGAACATTGTGAAGCACGAAAAGGAACTATCAAAGAAATGACAGAAAAATAGCACATGTGGGAGTGTTAGAACACATCAATAAAAAGCATAGAATTTGATTCGAGAGGTCTTTTCTCAACAACAGCAGGAAGAAAACAAATTACGCGGAAATGATGATCAAGGAATTTGAACCTGATAAGTCAGGGGATGGAAGCAGCAGCAACTCTAAAAAGATATAAGGACGGTTTAAAACATAAAATTTGGCATTTAGAGGGTTCGAGTAATTTCAAATCAAAATAGGAGTTCGCGAGCGACCTGTCACAACAAAAAGGAGAGACTGTTTAAGCAGCTCAGAGAGCGATAGTCAAACTGCCTCAACTAGAACTGCCAAAATCTAGCAGAAATCTTCAAAACTAGAGACCATTCTGGAGCGGCTTTGAAACAGCGGTATACAACCAGGATATTCCGGATATCCAGAAGCTCAATTATCATGTTTGCTGCTTTATCGTAGATGACTTTTATTCCTGAGCGATGAAATATTACAAGCAGTTAGTGGATTTGATATCAGCCAAAGAATTACAATCTTATTCGAGAGATATTGATAAAGAAATACGGTGATACGTATATTATTATAAGTCTGTTTTACAACAATCTTTTCTCAGAAAATGGTCGTGAATGGAAAACAACAATCGAAAATATAGAAAAATTTCTCAGACAATTGCAAGAGTTGGGAAGGAGTTTAGAGCATACAAGCTTGATTATCAAAAAAAGTCCAAGGATACTCCGACTGAGGTCCATGAGCAAAGACTAAAGAACAGATCCTGATTGGTAAGCAAACTGAGACAATTCCTAGAAGAGTTAATGGAGTTGGACAAAGTTGTAACTCAAAATCAAACTTATATTAATGAAATCGAGAAGAAACCAACTCGGTCTACCATAAATCTACGGTTCGGAAGTGGTGGGTAATTCAAAAATGAAACATCGGCTTTAACTATAGTCAAATCCAATGCTGATGAATTAAGAGCAGCGATCGATAAAACGAAGTTAGACAGAAAATAGGTTGGGAGAATTCCAGCAAGATCTTGTGCCTTTTGTAATAAGGGTCACTGAGATGACAAAAATCGAAACTATCCAGTCTTGAAACAACGTATGAGTGAAATTAGCGCTTGCTTAAAATACGCCAAGGCCGTACGCAAGCAACTGTAGAATGAAAATGATACGATGCTTCCACTGCGAAGGCCTCCATAAATCGGCACTGTGAAACAAACATAATGTGGCTGGCTCTACTCAAATGGACATAATAAGGAAAAAGTGGGATCAATGTATACAACTAAATAACTGATCAAAGAGATCCACAAAGACAAAGGGTTTTACTATTGTGTGAAGAGGTTAGTGTAGTCAATGTAGAAACTCCGAATATAGAGACGCAGGCACTGATACTATCCGATCAAGATGCAAAACTGTTATTCTTTTCAAAAGACTTGGCGAATCTATTAAGCCTGCAAGGAACTATAGAGAAAGAAGTAAGCATCGCTTCATTCGGCGATAAATTACCGAAAAGCTACTATTCCACAAAGCCGAAGATTGACATAAAGATACTAAGGAAAGAAATCATCACTTGCAAGT